ATGCCACAGTAATGGCAATGTTTGAAGGCACACCTGAGCCACAGGAAAAAGATAGGAAATGCCACAGTAATGGCAATGTTTGAAGGCACACCTGAGCTACAGGGAAAGGATAGGAAATGCCACAGTAATGTCAATGTTTGAAGGCACACCTGAGCTACAGGGAAAGGATAGGAAATGCCACAGTAATGGCAATGTTTGAAGGCACACCTGAGCTACAGGGAAGGTATAGAAAATGCCACAGTAATGGCAATGTTTGAAGGCACACCTGAGCCACAGGAAAAAGATAGGAAATGCCACAGTAATGGCAATGTTTGAAGGCACACCTGAGCTACAGGGAAGGTGTAGGAAATGCCACAGTAATGGCAATGTTTGAAGGCACACCTGAGCTACAGGGAAAGGATAGGAAATGCCACAGTAATGGCAATGTTTGAGAATCAGACTGATGAACAAGAAGCTGGAAAATATTTGAAGAAAGGGAAATGATTCGAGATGATGGAATTGAACTGATTTACAAATTTTCTGTTTTCTATAGATCAACGTATTAGAATTTTATTTTCACACAATTTATACCCACTTTCTGGATTTCAAAGCGTGAGTAATGTTTCTAACGGTTTAGATTCCAAGAATTAACTGCAATACAAAAACTATACACTAACTTTAATTAAGCTTCAACTTTATGCAAGCACTTTTAATACTACCAAAAACCATCAAGGAACTGTATTCAGGCGTACTCTGGCGGCAACTAGTCAATGACTCAACCATACTGGCTAAAACACGTACTGTTATATAGAAATAACATAGAAGAAACATATACAACAACAACACTCTTAATTTAGCCATCAAAGCAAAGGATTAAGCCAGCCTTTTACTGCTTTGAAATTGTTAAATCAATACCACAGTATCAGATGGCAAACTTACCTAAATACAATGTTACGAGGGGGGGGGGGTTAGCTGAGGGCTATAGTCCAAAAGTGGTAACAAGCAGCAATATTAGATCTATATTCACAAAAAAATCTAGAAATATATGAACAGTTAGACTCATTGGGGTGAAACGTATAGGTGGGCAAGATATGACTGGTTGCAACCATACGTAACGTGTTTTTAAGTAAATTGGTGTTACTTATGCATATCACATTTGAATAATTAATAATAAAGTTTGTAATTAATTTTATCAAGAATTTCAGCGGTTGTCATAGCCCGTGAATTATAAGTGAACTAGACGTTCATATACTGTATGTATGAAGTAAAATGAATCCCGAAAGTACGTCGAGTCTGCAATAAAGCACTCATTAATTCACTCAAATACATTTTGGTTACTCAGTTTTCTGGTTGAATAATTTTAAAATTTGAACATCAGTAATGTAATAAGCTGAAAAATATCGGAGTAAACGTAAAACACACAATATGTGTCTGTATAAGCCTTTTATTAAATCTTTATAGACACTTTTCAATTCTGTTGTGTATGTGTGGGTGTTTTTGCAGTAACTCTTTTTTACTGGTGTAGATATCCTATCAAGTTAAGATGGACGTTTACTTTTTACGTTCGTAAATATATATATATTCATACTGGAATATAAAGTACAGACCAGTTAAGCTATTACTAGGTTGAAACATGTCGCTGCATTATTTTAGACCAAAAAGACGACACCTAAAGTGTCTTGTTTTTATAATCCAAATTAGGTTAAACAGAAATTAAATTTATAGTTGCAATTAAAAAATAATAACAATAATTAAATAGATGTGTTCTAGCTTGTTTTGGTCGTTCAAGCAATACTGCTTTAGCAAAAATAAAAATAAAAATGATACTAACTTATTCATAAAGTTTAAAATTAATTAAACCATAGTTAATATTTATATTAGGATTAGTTAAATGGTTATACAAACAAAATTAGTATTGAATATCTGGTTTATCTATTGTTGATAAGAGATAAATATCATTATGTGCAGATAATCTAATTCCTTTATTTTATTTAAATCGACAAATTCTTTTAGACACATTAGGTGAATCATTTTGATATTTAATGTTCGAACGAAGAACTATTCGCCTGTAAAGAATATTGTTATTTCGTTGTGTAAACTTCGTAAAAAAAATACAATTTATGTTCTATAGTGTGTATATTAAAAAGCGTAATCCCCTGTAAAACGATCTTTTTTGTACGACAAATAAGTTATGAAAAGAAAACGTCCACACCCGTGTTGCGAAAGCTTTAAACATGATTTTTCTTTGAGATAAGACCCCAAGTGACACAGCGGTATGTCTGCAGACTTAAAACGCTAGAAACCGAGTTTCGATACCCGTGGTGGGCAGAGCACAGATAGCCCATTGCGTAACTTTGTGCTTAAACTACAAACAAACAAACAAATCTTTGAGTTAAAAGTCTGTTTCATTGCTGTGCTTAAACTACAAACAAACAAACAAATCTTTGAGCTAAAAGTCTGTTTCATTGCTTTCTGGTTGATTACGAGTTATTATTGTAAATATTGTAAATTTGACACAATTAAACTTTAAATTGAGTTTAGTCGAATAGAGTTAACGTGTTAAAATAAATGATTTGAACGGATGGAGGTTTCCCATAATTTCAGGAGACCAGTCCTCAATGTACGGACGACTTGTCACTCAAGACCAGCTGGTTGCTATGGGAACGGGGACTCAGAGTTCGAGTCAGAATGACCTCGTGTCTCTACAGGGCCGAATACCTTACAAAAGCAGAGACCCAACAACTGCTCCTCTACGAAAACTTAGCATTGACCTAATTAAAACTTATAAGCAGATAAATGAGGTAAGTTTTTATTTTTTTTACAACATGGCGAATCTGTTTTCGTTGTACCTAATTTAAAGATGACCTAATTAAAACTTATAAGCAGATAAATGAGGTAAGTTTTTATTTTTTTTACAACATGGTGAATCTGTTTTCGTTGTACCTAATTTAAAGATGACCTAATTAAAACTTATAAGCAGATAAATGAGGTAAGTTTTTATTTTTTTTACAACATGGCGAATCTGTTTTCGTTGTACCTAATTTAAAGATGACCTAATTAAAACTTATAAGCAGATAAATGAGGTAAGTTTTTATTTTTTTTTACAACATGTTTTCGTTGTATCTAATTTAAAGAGTTGTATGTTTTTACTTTTGCATATCTCAATACTGTATTGATCTACTTTCATAGGATGGATACAAATATCAGTTTAAAAAATTGAATTACCTGACTTTCGTTGGAGTACACAAGAAATTAACATTAAAATAGTTCTCTATGATGCTTTTTTTTATGATTTAAAATACACTTTTCTACGTATATGTTCATTTTTTCTATCAGGAATATATCCAATTTTCTAAGAAACAAAGGTAATATCGACAACCTTCAACCTTAGTGAGTTACAGTTTTTGTTGATCCTACTTTATCTCTCTTTGCACTTCTAAACCGTATAAGGCTCTTTAGATCAATTGATGTATGTTGCCAGTAAGGTATCTTTAAAGACGCATATCGACCGTGTGTTAGCATAACTAAGAAAGTAGTCCCTTGGAAATTTGGTGTGTTGTTGTTCTTCTGCTGGTATAAAAGTTTTTTATTGTTTAGTTTTTCTGATAATTAACACATAAAATTTCACGTTCATTAGCTGTAAAGGATATTGGCTCGGCTCTTTTTTTTATTCTCTCAATTTCAGCTAACGCAGATAAATTGATTTTTCATTCATTTACATCAAAATATTTTGTTTGCCAACATTCTATTTTATAGCCCATGATTAATTTTGTTATGCTTTCTTTCCTCATTTCATGTTTGTGCATGAACTTAAAAATATATTATTATGCATTTCTGAAGCTTAATAATCTCTCACAAGATGGAGCCACGCCCTAGTTTTATTATTATTATTGTTTTTTACTTTGCCTTGCCCCAAACAGTGGTACGGCTGTACTTCCAGACAAGGTCCAGACATCTAGAGACTGAAGACAGTGATAAAAAGAGCTATAACTGCGTATGATGTTTTGCACACGGTACTACACATCTAGTGAGGCCAATGCCGTGTGTCATAGCGCTTGCCAGGAATGGGTTAAGACAGTATATTTATTGCTATCGAGCAGACGGAAAAATTCTTCTGTTACGATATTTCGTGTCTTCGGTGTCACTGTTATCTTTTGGTGTATGTGTGACTTCTGTCATACTAATTTTAATTTGGTTTTTACAATTTTTTTTCTTAAAAATGAATCTCCATCTCACCAAATTTGTGTCATTAAAAACAGATTGTTCGAATATCAAAGAAACGTCTTGCTATCTAGATTTGATGCAGAAACGTTCTGAATTTCGTTCAGTAATAGTAAAACTTAACCCTTGAAAAGTTGAAACATTACAAATAATAATGTGGATAGGCTTCAAGAAATATCGGCTTGTTTCAAATACACCATGATTCTTATATTTATATTAGTATGAATTACGAATAACCTATTCGTTCAGTATATATTGATGATTCTTATATTTATATTAGTATGAATTACGAATAACCTATTCGTTCAGTATATATTGATGATTCTTATATTTATATTAGTATGAATTACGAATAACCAATTCGTTCAGTATATATTGTTTTAGTTTGTTGAAAATTTTCTGACAAAAGTGATTGATTATTTTATGTATTTTATATTTCATTAAGACGCTGTTACAGAAAAACATATGAAATCATAAAGCATTTTTGTATCGACTTCAACAAATTACGTATCGTCCTGGACTAATATTTTATTAGTGCGCAGATCGTGTGAAGTCGAATTCCTAAACTTTTCACAGCATATTTTGTTGAAATAGCTCTTGGCTAATTTCAAAACTTAGGCTGCTGAACCTCATGAGGACAACAATTCTATGTGATTAGGTATTGTGAGACGAAGGCAATAATCCTACGCAACGTAGGTATTGTGAGACAAAGGCAGCAGTCCTAGCGACATGAGTATTGTGTGACAAATGTAGCTGTCCTAAGTGACATGAGTATTGTATGACAAATGTAGCTGTCCTAAGTGACATGGGTATTGTGTGATAAATGTAGCTGTCCTAAGTGACATGAGTATTGTATGATAAATGTAGCTGTCCTAAGTGACATGGGTATTGTGTGATAAATGTAACTGTCCTAAGTGACATGAGTATTGTGTGATAAATGTAGCTGTCCTAAGTGACATGGGTATTGTGTGATAAATGTAGCTGTCCTAAGTGGCATGGGTATTGTATGACAAATGTAGCTGTCCTAAGTGACATGGGTATTGTGTGACAAATGTAGCTGTTCTAAGTGACATAGGTATTGTGTGATAAATGAAGCTGTCCTAAGTGACATGAATATTGTGTGATAAATGTAGCTGTCCTAAGTGACATGGGTATTGTGTGGCAAATGTAGCTGTCCTAAGTGACATGAGTATTGTGTGATAAATGTAGCTGTCCTAAGTGACATGAGTATTGTGTGACAAATGTAGCTGTCCTAAGTGACATGAGTATTGTGTGACAAATGTAGCTGTCCTAAGTGACATGGGTATTGTGTGGCAAATGTAGCTGTCCTAAGTGACATGGGTATTGTGTGACAAATGTAGCTGTCCTAAGTGACATGAGTATTGTGTGAAAAAATGTAGCTGTCCTAAGTGACATGGGTATTGTGTGACAAATGTAGCTGTCCTTAGTGACATGGGTATTGTGTGACAAATGTGTGTCTTGATTTTTATGAATTGGTAGGTTGTTTGAAATGACTAACAAATTCTATATAATTTATAGTACTTTTAATGTATTTACAATGTCTTTTAAACATATATATTAAAATACATTGTGAATTTATTAAAACTACTGTAGATGGATTTTAATACATCTTTGAAACAGTTTCCTTGAAATAAGTTCTGAGATTTTCATAGCAAATCAAACTTTTATCATTGTGTATATAGTGAGCACGTAATTAGCTTCATTTGTAAGCGCACGAAACAGACCTGAAGTCAATCCCCTGCCCTAACAGAAATCATAAATCTCACTAAACCTCAACAGTGTGCTTTGGTGCAACAAACACTTGCAAGCACGCGTGATCGTGAAAATCAACGGTAATTTGTCACGTGAGCTGATGATGCCTTACAGTTGCTAACATTAAATTCGAATAAATTTGAGCACACATCAACTACATCTAGTTTTCCGTTTATTGAGTTATTTGTTAGTGTATGATAGAATTCTGTATCTTCTTTTGTATACACGCACGCAAACAAAGGAAAAGGAATTTTAATTATGTAAATTAATCCCTAATTAAAATTTCTTAAGTGAAGAAACACGTTTGTGTATACTATTGATCAACGTTTTCCTGACACTTTAAAATTTATACTGAATATTATTATAACAGTAGTTAGATCCAATAAAGGTTTTGGCTGATCCAGCTTTAGAGGATATGATTCATTTATTCGGCCAAAAACCCGTTTGCAGAGGTGGCGTTGACGCTAGCCTTAATTCACCACTCCTATGTGAACCGCAGTGTGCCGTGTCAACACCCACTAGAAAAGCTCGAGCCGATGATAAATGAGCTGCTACTTCTTGCATTTCTCAAAGAAACTGGCGGCTCAGAAATTTCTTCAGCTAAGATGAAAATACGTTTTTAAAATATGACCTCTGTGAGGATAATAGCGATAAAATTTTTGTTTCTTCATCATAGTTCTTTCAAAAAGCCATAAATCCAGAACCAATTTTTATCTGAAAAACAGCAGTGCTAATTAATTCTTCGTTAATATAATGATGTATAATTTATGCACTTGTGTCCAGAAATAAAATAAATAAATACGAAAATACTTGAGTCTTGACATGAAACAATGAATAAATGAATTATTGCTGTCAAAATTTAAAAAAGTCATTTCAAACCAAACAACAGCTACAAAAATTTTGTTTTAATGAAAATGTATTGCATTTTTCAGAGTAACTTTCACAACTATCATGTCATCATTCGCGAAATAAATCAGTTTTTTGTTTTTTCACGAACATGTCTTGAAGCTCAGTTAACTCGAGTAGATCTAAGTTTGTGTTTATCCAACGTACTGTTACAAGCGATATGTTCTGACGTCATAATGATGCAGGCTTTAAAGTCTCGGTAGAATCTCAAAGCTACCAGTATTATGGAAATCGACAATAACGAAGAGAGATTTGGAGGATTACAGAAGATTAAGAGAGTTGGTGAAACGAGAAATTTGGAAATAATAAGAATAAAAACTATGGAAAAAGGTTGGCTGAAAATGTAAAAGTTAACTGTAAGGATTTCTTTAAATACCTTAACTGATTAAGGGTCAACAAAATTTTAGGATGGGAGTAGGGCTTTTGACTTTGAGGGATGATACAAAAAGACTGATCTGATGATTATGGTATAGGTGGGTTATAAATTCTGTTGTTTCTTCAAATTTTACTAATGAAGGTTTAAGTAGCAGCAAGAGGAAACAAGATACAAAAAGGTGATCACATTAATTCACAGCTTGTTCTAAAAAAATTGGGAAGTTTATAGAGTGGGCCAGGTAATTAATATTTACCCAAGGATTTTGAAAGAGGTTACCGTAAAGTGTTGGATATGTGAATCACTTGCCACAATTTTTTCCAAGTCTCTTAAAAGTGGGCAGGTGCCAGAGGGTTGAAAGTGGGCTAATGTTACCCTGCTCTCCAACTTCAAGGGAGATGATAAATATTTTCCCAGTAATTATATTGTTACGTCTCTGTTTGTTTATTTTCCCGTAAAAATTCTTTCCGAAGAACTTCAGCGACACAAGTCCTTTCTTAAATAAAACTAGTTTATTCTTTCTCAATACAACTTTGCAATACACAGAATTTCCATCGTCACTTTAACTTAAACACACGCTATAATTCACAACGATTCACTCACTTTACTTATGGTCACTACCGCTCGCTTGACTTAATTATCTGTCTCTATATCTCTCTATCTGCAATTATTATCTGTTT